CCCCAAGAATTTGCATTTCCTGGATTTTGGATCTAGCTTTGAAATTTCTTGGGAGTTGTACATCACGTACACAATACTTCCAAATACATGGAGGTTTGAATAATCAGCTGGTTTACCAGTCCACATCTCCATTGGTGTCTTCAGCTCTATTGCAGTTGATGGAGCTCGATTCATCAAATAACAGGCGATATTGACTGCTTCTGCCCAGAATGATTTTTCTAGGCATGCATCCCTCAACATTGCTCTTGTTCTTTCTAACAAGGTTCTGTTCATCCGCTCTGCCACTCTATTTTGTTGAGGAGTGTTCGCCACTGTGAACTGTCTTTTGATGCCTTCTTTCCTGCAAAAGTCATCAAATTCTTCACTTGTGTATTCTCCTCCATTATCTGTTTTGAAACACTTGATCTTCTTTCTAGAATCAAGTTCCACCCGTGCTTTGAAGTTTTTGAAAGTTGAAAACACGTCTGACTTCTTTTTAATAGAGTACACCCAACATCTCCTGGAGTATTTATCAATAAATGAGACAAAGTATTTTGCTCCGCCTAGGGATGTAACTGGTGCTTGCCATACGTCAGAATGAACCAATTCCAGAACACTTTTGCCTCTAGAATTTGACGTGTTGAATTTCAACCGGTGTTGCTTACTTGTTATGCAATGCTCACACAAAGTAGGTGATACCTTTGTTAAGCCTGGAAGTAGCTTTTGCTCTACAAGGACTTTCATTCCTTGTTCTGACATGTGTCCAAGTTTCTTATGTCATATCATTGCAGAATCTGAACTACATGAGGTAACAGAGGCTTCTGCTTCTAGCAAAGTCTCTCCCTTCAGCATGTACAAGTTTGCAGCTATCTTTTCGCCTTTCAGCACCACAAGCGCTCCACGGAACACCTTCATGATTCCTTTTCGTGTTTCAATCTTGCTAGTATTATTATCCAACAATCCGTAGGATAATAAATTTTTCTTCAGGCCTTTCACGTGCCGCACATCTCGAACAACTTTAATTGTTCCATCATACATCTTCAATTTGATGGTTCCCACGCCAACGATCTCTAAGGCATGATCATTGCAACTATACACAGATCCTCCTGAGACAGGTTCATAATGATGGAACCATTCTCTTCTTGAGGTCATGTGATATGTTGCTCCCGAATAAATGAGCCATATATCTACAAATCTTTTTCTGCCTTCCACGGTGGTTGACGCTTCACAGCATAGAGCATCTCCATCATCTGAAGTGTTTGCGGTATTGCCTTGTGGATTGGAGTTTTTATTGAGACTCCAACAATCCTTCTTCAAGTGACCCTTCTTTCTACAGTGGTAGCACTTTAAATTCTTTTTGCTTCTTGACTTAGATCTACCATGTTTGTGATTGCTGCTTTGGTCACGTTCTGTTGATCTCCCTCTCATCGTTGTCAACTCTTCTGCTTATTGCAGATTTACTTGTCTATCTTCCTTGTTCTTGCGCCGATTTTCTTCTTGTAGAGCAACAGCTGCAACGTCATCGAAGACTAGACTGGTGACATTACTGTTTGTCAAGTTGATGATGAGTTGATCATACGAATCCGGTAGACTTTGAAGTAGAAGTTCAACACGTTCTTGTTCTCCTATTTTACAGCTTAAGGATGTAAGCTGAGAAAATAAAGTGTTCAGTGTATTTAAGTGCTCCGTCACTGAAGTAGATTCTGACATCCGGAGAGTGTACAATTTCCTCTTAAGGAAAATTTTATTGTGCAACGATGTGGCCTCGTACAGTTTGGTGAGATGATCCCATATCTCCTTAGTTGTCTTCTTCTCCTCGATGCTTGACAATACTTCATCTGCTAATGCTAGATGAAAGTTTGCCATAGCATTCTCGTCCATCTCGTTCCATTTTCTGTCATCTGTGAAATCCACCGGCCTTTCACTGATAGCCGCTAGACACCCGTCTTTCCTCAGGATAGCCTTCATCTTTAATTTCCACAATGAGAAATTTCTCCCATTGAACTTTTCAATATCAAATTTCGTTGTCATAGCTTCTATTTCGGATAGCTCCCACTATTTCACTATCGTGAATAGTTCTCTAGAACCTCAAAGAATGGGTAATACCTTCTTACTTTCTTATGTTGGAGGATCCACCTTTTGGTGGCAACCACAAAGACAATAAGCAGATATTACACACTCAAATCTGGCTCTGATACCAATTGTTGCGAAAGACGGCTATCGGATAGAGCAAAATCGCAACTGATAATTTGAGAAAATAAAAATGAAGATAAGAGAGACACAAAATTTACATGGAAAACCCCTAAATAATATAGGGTAAAAACCACGGGCAACGGTAGAAGAATTTTACTATGAGAAAATAGGAATTACAACTTCTCTCAATCTACCAAGGAGAAAACAATGATAATTCTCTCTTGATAAAAAGAAGAAAACAACTCTCAAGAACTCTCTAAATTCTCTAGTATTGGAATAAAGCTAGAATGCTTTGGGATGGTTTTAAAGCTAAATGAGCTAGGGTATTTATAGTTGAAATCTAAGGACTAATCTTGTAAATACCCTAAAGTACAATGATCAAATGTTGTAATTTTCCCTTGCATAATTCAACAAAAAATAATTAATTTTGAAAGCCACCTTTGAAGCATTAGCTGCCGGCTGCTAGTGCTATGACTTTCAACACACCAGTCAGATCTATTTTCCGTCTTGGATTTATGATCGATTGGATCAAGGTGAGGAGATGGAGTTTGGAGATGCTTCTGATGATGACAAAGTGATGGTGAGGAAGATGATAATAACAGCCTTTTGGTGTATACAATTACTGCCTGCAGATCGTCCATCGATGAGTAAAGCATTGAGGATGCATGAAAATGAGGATGAGCTACTTGAAATGCCTTCAAAGCCATTTCATCAACTTCCTCTTGACACGTCATCGGAGGTTCATGGCGGTGAGTACTCTAATGATGAGCCAACTACATCAAAGGATGATATTACTATAACCAGTTCAAATGTCATTTGAGGCGGGCGCTATTATTTCATATGCGTCTTCTTATTTTGTAATTTTCCTCTTAATTGGTATACCAAACAAAGAAAATGTGTTACGACTTTGACTTTGAATTTTCAAATATATGTGGACCAGCTTTATTATACATCCCCATACAGATAGCTTCGTACATTTCTTGTTCAATGGCCCCCATGTATTCCAGAATACGTATTATGCACCTGACAGTATGTTTAATTCCCAAATTTCATTATAATTGATCAATTAACACTTTTGATTCATATTGAAATAATCATATTTTGCAGGTACTAGTGTATTATGTGTTGGAGTAGCAGGTAATTAGCTTTAATTCTGCTCTAAATTGCACTTAACAGGTAACTTTATATTGAACAGATTTCATTAATGCATTCAATTTTACCCTTTTTTTTTAAAAAAAGGAGTTATCTTAGCAATATATTTACTGGGGATATGTTGCTTGCTTGCACTTGTTGCATACAAATGGCGGAGAAGACATTTATCTGCTGATGATAACATTGAAAATTTCCTTAAAGGCCAAGGTGATCTAATGCCAATAACGTACTCTTTTCGTGAGATCAAACAATTGAGCAGCGATTTTAAAGAAAAACAAGGTGAAGGTGGCTATGGCTCCATATATAAAGGAGGCTTCGTAGCAGTAATCTCGTAGCGATAAAGTTATTGTGCAAGGCAAAGGCGGATGGACAAGATTTCATTAGTGAAGTTGCTACAATAGGGAGGATTCACCATGTTAATGTTGCGAAACTTATCGGATTCTGCGTTGAAGGATCAAAACAAGTTCTTGTATTCGATTTCATGCCGAATGGTTCTTTGGATCAGATTATATTTGCAGAAGAAAGCAAGACCATTTTAAGCTGGAAAAAGATGTTCGACATTTCACTTAGTGTGGCTCGAGGGATTGAGTACTTGCATCAAGGATGTGATATGCAGATTCTACATTTTGATATCAAGCCGCTTAACATTCTTTTAAATGAGAACTTTGTTCCTAAAGTGTCTAATTTCGGTCTTGTTAAACTATATTCGACGGATGCTAGTATCGTATCTCTAACTGCAGCTCGGGGTACGATAGGGTACATTGCTACCGAGTTGGTCTACAAAAGCATCGGTGGCATCTCGTATAAGGCCGACGTTTATAGCTTCTGAATGCTGTTGTTGGAAATAGTTGGGAGGAGGAAGAATATGAAGTCGGTTGTTGAAGAATCGAGTCGAATGTATTTTCCATCTTGGATATATGATTGGTATTCTCAAGGAGAAGACATAAAATTCGAAGGTGTTACCGATGACGAAAAGATCACCGTGAGAAAGATGGTAATAACAGCATTTTGGTGCATACAGATAAAGCAGACCGACCGTCCTTCGATGAGGAAAGTGTTGGAGATGCTCGAAGCCGATGTCGAACTCCTTCGAATACCTCCAAAGCAATTTCAACTTCCTTTTGACATATCATATCAAGTGAGGATCAAACATCACCTTTACTGGATTCTGCAGATGAAGTTAGCTTGCGCGCAATTAATGTAATTCGTCAAGATTGATTCAATGTGTGTGACTAAACTCTTTCTAACGGTCTCATTTCTCTAATTTGAGCTTTATTCAGCTCAATCTTACCCGTTTATCTACAAGTCAAACTAGATCGTGTTGATCAATTTGTTGGTCAGAAAAAACAATATAATAAATGGTAAACTATGTCGATAGTCCCCCATGTTTTTGGTCTGACCGACTTTGGTATCTAATTTGGCATAATGGTCTCTGGAATTAAGTTTCCTTTTTATTAATCTAGAGTGAGAGTAAGTCAGTATCTGGTTATAGATAACTCTTCACCATTTGATTTTGAACTCTTATATCTTTTATATTCTTAGTGCTCAAAACCCGGAACCTGGAGGAATAACAACGATTTCTTTGCTACTAAGGTTGCTTTGTACGTGCACGTTAAAGTTTTCTTAAAAATTTAAACTTGAAAACAACTGACTTACAAAAGGTAAAAGAAAGACAACTAATGATTGAACATGGTAGCTAAGTTACGAACAGCATCATGAACAAAGTAATAGCAGCAGTAGATAGAATTCTCGATGAAACGAAACCACCTCCTTCGCCAGTTGGGGTTGAGGTAGAGAACAGCCCCCAATGTCCACAAGACCACACAATAACTTGTAAAAAAACTTGCAAGGAAAGAATTACGGTCCATTGCATACCATTTTTCTTCGGCTCCATCTGGTGGCAATGCCGTGTGGTTTTTCTCCGATGGTATGCCAGAAAGGAATGGATTTCCTTCGTAACTGTCGATGCCAAAATTCGCGAATTGGCCTTTGTCTGGGACTCTGCCTGATAAGTTGTTGTGTGCCACACTGAAGACTTCCAGGAAGTTAAGCTTGACCAGCTCCGATGGGATTTTCCCGCTTAGATTGTTGTAGGACAAATCCAGGCTCTCGATTTGAGGGAGATTCGAGAACGAAACCGGAATGCACCCCGTCAGATGATTGTGGGATAAGTTGAGTCCGTGAAGGAATGACAGCTTCCCAAGAGTCTGAGGAATTGCGCCCGTCAGATTGTTGCATGACAGATCTAATCCAGCCATGTAATTCAGAATGTTTCCTTTGTAAGAAAGGAGACTATGTTTAGTGACAAAGTCTACATTACACACATACATGACATCTAGCCTATTACTATCCCAGAAACTGGTAAAGTCATAAAATTCTTGAAGGAGATTGTGAAAATCATAAGAAAATGTAAAGTCTTTAACGAAATCATTGGAAGCACTTCCGAATGGTAAATCACTCAAGCAGCTTGGTATTGGACCAGAAAAGGAGTTGTTGGAAAGATCCAATATGGTTATCTCTGTTAATTGACACAACTGTCTCGGAATCAAGCCATCGAAGAGATTATTTCCTAACAAAAGAATTTGTAAGTGACGAAGTGGACCAAGTTGGGAAGGAATGTTTCCAGAAAATCTGTTATCTCTGATGTTCAACAAGAAAACAGGTGAATAACCTTGAAAATTCTCGATCAAGCAAGACGGTATCGGTCCCGACAGCAAGTTATGAGAAATATCAATGACCTGCGCTTCATAAAATCCTTCACATGGCATGTGGCCTTCGAAAGAATTGTTCTGCAGTAAAAGAACCTCAGCATCTATTCCATTAGGAATCTCACCGGCCATGTTGTTGTTGCTAACATCAAAGAGTTTCATGGAACTATAGAATTCCTTCTTTGTTATTAGACTTCCGGTGAACTTATTGTTCCCCAGTCTCAACACTTGTACTCTACTCAAGTTGAAGTGATCAGCGGAAAAGAATTCACCATGAAAACTGTTGTTGTTCAACATCAAACCAACTAGATCAATGCAATTTTCTACCAATTCCTTTGGAACTTCTCCTGATAAATTATTGAAGGATAAATCCAACCACGACAACTTCGTCATGACACCAACCAAGGACGGGAGCTCGCCTTCAAACAAGTTACAGGATAAATTGAGATACTGTAAATTTGGAAGAAACAGTCCAAGATCCATTGGAAGATGCCCTTCAACATGATTGTTTGATACATCAACATGAACCACACCACTCATAGGATTCTTCCGAAGAGGATTGAGATTCCCGATAAACGAATTATTCCTAAGGTTCAGAAACTGTAGATCAGTGTTATTTTCAAGCAACCAGAAAGGCAGGGCTCCGCTCAAGTCATTGTGCGAGATATCAACCCATATTAACCGATGCTGGCTTAGCAAAAACCGAGGAGCATTCTTCATGTTACAATTCGAAAGCAGCAATACCTTTAGTTGAAACAACGGGATCCCAGCTTGTTCATCATTATCAATCTGCAGTTTGTTCTCTTTGCTCCCGAGTACGACTACCTCAAGCTTCGAGTGATTGAATATGGAGCTAAGAGAGAAGGAACCCTCGAAATCATTATGGCTAATATCCATGAACTGAAGAAACTTTTGGCTTGGTATTGAATATGATGTAATGGTGCCGCTGAAGTGATTATGATGCAGATCAAGAATCTTTAGAGATGTCAGATTGCTTAGACAAGGGGGAAGAGTTCCTTGGAAACTATTATGATGAATATCTAACACTTGAAGTCTCCTCAATTCACACAACCCTGGAAGAAGGAGAAACTAAAATTGTTTCAATAATTTACAAGAAAACGATGATTTCACCTCAGTTATACTCTTACCGTGGACCGGCAAAGAGCCATTGAAGTAATTATCTGCCAAATACAGAGCTTTAAGATGGGATAGATTCCCAATATTTTGAGGAATACCTCCTTCCATAATATTATTGCGTAAATCTAATACCTCCAATCTTCCCAATGTTATCAAATCTACGGACAAAGCAAAGAAAAATGTAAGCTTCATCAAATATTTTTTTTCCTTAGAAAGGAATTTGCATGTTTACGTACCTTGATTCGACAGAGTGCCTCGCATAACATTATCGGAAAGATCAAGAGACTTTAGGGACGGAAGTGAGCCCAGAAACCTTATAATATTAGTACCGGTGAAGGTGTTGTCATGCAGAATTACGTTCCTGAGCTTTGAGCAATCCACAGAATCTGGATAATTATCACAAATCAATGGGTGTGAATCATCATCATCATCATATATATATATATCAAAACAGATACTGAAATCATTGCGTAATTAAAGGAATGAACTTGTCCCATACCGAACTTTGTTGGAGAATCTTGTAGTCTATTTAAACTTAAATCCAGTGTCTCCAAGTTTTCAAAAGCAGATAGTTCTGCATTGTGGAAGAGAAACAAAACAATTATTGTTGTAATCCTATATATATATTGATTAAATTCCAACATGTATACCTCGGGCAGGGAAGGACCCGTTAAAGGAATTGCCACTAAGGTTCAAATTCTTAAGCGATTTGAGTTTCCTCAAAGAATGCAGATGGCTGCTTGTTAAAATGTTATACGAAAGATCCAACGTCTCCAGCTGTTGTAGCCTAGACCAACCTTTAGACCCAATAAACAAGATATTATCAGCCAAAAATTTAAAGATATTAGATGTGATCATGCATGTAATAACCATACCTTGGTTCTCTGTCCATGTCATACAATTGTAGGCTAAAATGAGAGTTTTTAGATGTTTAAAAGACTGGAATAAGGTGATGTTCCAATTGGGTGAATCGAAACAGTAAAAATCATGTAAATTAGACAGTCGTATATTGAAGAGGGAGAGCCTGTGAAGCCGTCCGGTGGTGGAGTTGCAGCTAAGTCTCTCCCAGCCACAGTAATCACTCGTCGGATCATCGACCCATGAAGGCAGTACATCATGCTCTGCACCATTCATGACGTCTATCTTCAGAAACGACTTCAGTTCTAACAGCCCTGTCCTCTCTTCTTCAGAACATGCTCTTTGCCCGTCAGTTTGAGTGAATATGATGACCAAATTCACCAGAAATATCAACTTTAGAGAATGCATCTCATTCATTTTCAAAACCAAGCAAAACTCTTAGGTGATCGTTTAGTTGACAGGGATGGCTTTTATATTGTCATGTATAGCTCTCAACTGATGGGAAACCAAGGGAAAATTGGCTACAATTAAAATTATTTTCCTGTTAATTATAAATGGAAAATTATCTTTTAATTTTTTTAAAAAAATTCCTTTTCGTGCATATAAGTTAAAAGTCGAGTCCTTGTACTCCCACAGTTAAGCCTTAACTGTTGGGAGCGATGACCTGAAAGACTTCGACAGATCACATCTCCATTTGCCAAAGTTCTATTTGATATTTCCTTTATTAAACCAAAAATAGACTACTCGATTGAAATGTAAATTAGTTTTGAATAAGTAGCGCAATTCCTGCTCCAATTTTCCACAAATTAACCACCTATAGGATGGTTTGGAGACTTGGAAACTTCAAAATTTTCGATTGATAACGACTACATTTTGTATATGCAGTTGATCGAAGTTAGAACACAGGAAAAATAACATATCCTATTACGAGTGAGACCACGTTCAAATTAATAATCACTTTTTCTTTTAACCTAAGGTGATTATTGTTGGGGAATACGGCTATCGGATAGAGCAAAATCGCAACTGATAATTTGAGAAAATAAATATAAAGATAAAGAAGACACAAATTTTACGTAAAAAACCCATAAATAATATAGGGTAAAAACCACGGGCAACGATAGAAGAATTTTCTATGAGAAAATAGGAATTACAACTTCTCTCGATATAACAAGGAGAAAACAATAACAATTCTCTCTTGATAAAAAGGAGAAAACAACTCTCAAGAAAACTCTCTAAATTCTATAGTATTGGGAGAAAGCTAGAATGATTTGGGATGGTTTTGAAGCTAAATGAGCTAGGGTATTTATAGTTGAAGCTTAAAGACTAATTTTATAAATACCCTAAAGTTTAGGGACTAATTACAATTTTACCATTTCCCAAAAATTCAACATTTTCAAGTTGTAACTTTCGGTGCCCATTAATGCACATGCACCGAAAGTTGCTTTGTTTTCTTTTTCAACAATCTCCCACTTAAGATTTGATTGGAGCAATAATATATTCACACCATTCTTTCTACCTTGTACCTTCATGTTGCTTATGTTTCTGTCAGGCCACAAGATGATCGACACCAAGTAAATTTATCAGCAATGATCGCCTTCGTCATGAAATATGTTATGTTGTCTTTGGTATAGACCTTCTGTATATCTACCGTCCATTCTTCCACCTTTTCATGAATGAAATGGTATTGAACTCGTATGTGCTTTGTCCTTGAATGAAATAGTGGATTCCTTGCTAGATGCAAGGCGCTTTGACTGTCACAAAACAGAGAGACATACTCTTGATTGTGCCCAAGCTCCTCCAATAGCATCTTCAACCAAATTGCTTCTTTACTGGCTTTTGTAGCTGCTACATATTCTGCCTCTGTTGTGGATGTAGCCACAACTGACTGCAATTTTGAAGCCCAACTTATAGCTCTACCAGCAACTTTGAACACATATCCTGTAGTAGATTTTCTTTTATCCAAATCCCCTGCATAGTCAGAATCTACATACCCATTGATTAGTAAGTTTGATCCTCCGTAACATAATGCAACATTTGAGGTCCCTTTGATGTATCTAAGGATCCTCTTTATTGTATTCCAATGCTCTTTGCCTGGATTCGCCATGTACCAACTAACCACTCCCATTGCTTGTGCAATGTCTGGTCTTGTGCATATCATAGCGAACATTAAACTTCCCACTGCCAATGCATACAACACTCGAGACATCTCCATCTTCTCTTCTTCACTGCTAGGACTCATACTGGAGGATAATTTGAATTTAATAGGAAGATGGGTAGAAATTGGATTACAATCTTGCATGTTGAATCTTAACAAGATCTTCTTCAAGTAATTCTTTTGTGAAAGCCAAATCTTCATATTACTTCTGTCTCGGTGCATTTGCATCCCCATAATCTTGTTTGCTGATCCCAAGTTCTGCATTTCAAAATCCCTAGCCAGTTGTGCCTTCAATTCTTTAATATGATCTTTATTGGGTCCTGCAACCAACATGTCATCCACATACAACATCAATATAACAAAATCGTTATCACCAAACCTCTTAAAATAAGAACAGGGGTCTAAATTAAGTCTTTTGTATCCAATACACATAATGAAGGAATCAAATCTCTTATACCAACACCTCGGCGCCTACTTTAGACAGTACAGAGATTTGTTCAACCTGAAAACCAATTTCTTCTTTTCTTTTTCTTCAAAACCTTCAGGCTGGAGCATGTAAATCTCTTCTTCAAGATTTCCATGAAGAAAAGTTGTTTTAACATCTAGCTACTCTAGATGTAAGTTCAATGTAGCACACATTGCCAAAACTACTCGAACTGTTGTTAGTTGAACCATATGAGAAAACATTTCATTGAAATCAATACCTTCTTTTTGAGCATATCCTTTGACCACCAGTCTTGCACGATACCTCTCCACTTGATCGTCACCATTTCGATTGATTTTGAAGACTCATTTGTTACCAATTGGCTTCCTTCATTATAGTAGTGGCACAAGGTCCCATGTATTATTTTTATGAAGGGCTTCGATTTCTTCTTGCATCGCCATCATCCACAGTGAAGCATCTGAGTTGTTTATTACCTCCTGGTATGTTGATGGCTCATCGTCCTCTGTTAAAAGGCAATATGCAATATTTCCTTCTATAACATAATCTGAGTGCCAATTGGGACGTCTTCTCACACGATCTGATTGACGAGTTGTTGGAGATTCAGAACTCTCTGGTTCTTGTTCATCATGTGCTGGTTCTGCTTTAGAATAATCTCCTTGTTCAAACTCCTTTTTCCACATGTATTTGTGTAGTCTCCGACTTTTCAGCACTATCATCGTCTTCTTTTCTTTGTAGTTTATCTTCTACAAAGATAACATCCCTGCTGATGATCACTTTACGAGCAGTGGGCTACCCCTTTACACCATCAACATACTCCAATAATTTGCATTTCCTGGATTTTGGATCCAACTTTGAAATTTCTTGGAAGTTGTACATCACGTAAACAATACTTCCAAATACATGGAGGTTTGAATAATCAACTGGTTTACCAATCCACATCTCCATTGGTGTCTTCAACTCTATTACAGTTGGTGGAGCTCGATTCACCAAATAATAGGCGGTATTGACTGCTTCTGCCCAAAATGATTTTTCTAGGTCTGCATCCATCAACATTGCTCTTGTTCTCTCTAACAAGGTTCTGTTCATCCGCTCTGCCACTCCATTTTGTTAAGGAGTGCTCGCCACTGTGAACTGTCTTTTGATATATTCTTTCCTGCAAAAGTCATCAAATTCTTCACTTGTGTATTCTCTTCCATTATTTGTTCTGATACACTTGATCTTATTTCCAGAATCAAGTTCCACCCATGCTTTGAAGTTTTTGAAAGTTAAAAACACATCTGACTTCTTCTTAATAAGGTACACCCAACATCTCTTAGAGTAGTCATTAATAAATGAGACAAAATATTTTGCTCCGCCTAGGGATGTAACTGGTGCTTGCCATAAGTCAGAATGAACCAATTCTAGAACACTTTTACCTCTAGAATTTGACTTGTTGAATTTCAACCGGTGCTGCTTACTTGTTATGTAATGCTCACACAAAGTAAGTGATACATTTGTTAAGTCTGGGAGTAGCTTTTGCTCCACAAGGACTTTCATTTCTTGTTCTGACATGTGTCCAAGTTTCTGATGCCATAGCATTGCAGAATCTGAACTACATGAGGCAACATGTTCATAATGATAGAACCATTCTCTTCTTGAGGTCATGTGATATGTTGTTCCTGAATCAAAAAGTCATATATCTGCAAATCTTTTTCTACCTTCTACGGTGGTTGACGCTTCACAATATATAACATCTCCATCATCTGAAGTGTTTGTGGTATTGTCTTGTGGATTGGAGTTTTTATTTAGACTCCAACAATCATTCTTCAAGTGGCCCTTCTTTCCACAGTTGTAGCACTTTAAATTCTTCTTGCTTCTCGACTTCGATCTACCATGTTTGTGACTACTGCTTTGGGCACGTTTTGTTGATCTCCCTCTCATCATTGTCAACGCTTCTTCTTGTTGCAGATTTACTTATCTGTCTTCCTTGTTCTTGCGCCTATTTTCTTCTTGTATAACATCAGCTGCAACGTCATCGAAGACTAGGCTGGTGACATTACTGTTTTTCAAGTTGATGATGAGTTGATCATACAAATCAGGTAGACTTTGAAGTAGAAGTCCAACACGTTCTTGTTCTCCTATTGTACATCTTAAGGATGTAAGCTGAGAAAATAAATGTGTTCAGTGTGTTTAAATGCTCTGTCACTGAAGTAGATTCTGACATACGGAGAGTGTGCAATTTCCTCTTAAGGAAAATTTTATTGTGCAACGATGTGGCCTCGTACAATTTGGTGAGATGATCTCATATCTCCTTAGCAGTCTTCTCCTCCTCCATGCTTGATAATACTTCATCTGTTAATGCTAAATGAAAGTTTGCCGTAACATTCCCGTCCATTTCGATCCATTTGTTGTCATCTGTGAAATCTACCGGCCTTTCACTGATAATTGCTAGACAACCTCATTCCTCAGGATTATCTTCATCTTCAATTTCCACAATGAGAAATTTCTCCCATTGAATTTTTCAATATCAAATTTCGTTGCCATAGCTTCTATTACGAATAGCTCCCACTATTTCACTATCGTGAATAGTTCTCTAACACCTTCAAAGAATGGGTAATACCTTCTTACTTTCTTATGTTAGAGGATCCACCTTTTGGTGGCAACCACAAAGATAATAAGTAGATATTACACACTCAAATCTGGCTCTGATGCCAATTGTTGCGGAATACGGCTATCGGATAGAGCAAAATCGCAACTGATAATTTGAGAAAATAAAAATGAAGATAAAGAAGACATAAATTTTACGTGGAAAACTCATAAATAATATAGGGTAAAAAC